CGAAAAGTGAGATGGGGCGCGCCGCAGTGGTGCAGCGCCGCCATTGGGGCTTTCGGTGTAGCCCACTAGTGGGCAAGGGAACAGTGGAATGGGTGGAGGCAACGCATGCGAGTACAGCCGCCGGGGCCTTCGGTACAGTTCTGCATGAGGCCACGGAGCGCTGTGCTGGGTGGGGGTGGCGCATGCGGGCGGTGCCACTGGGGGCACAGGTGGAGCTCCCTATGTGGCCACGGAGCGCTGCCTTGGGTGGGGGAGCCGCAGGCGAGTGCATCCGCTGGGGCCACGAAGCGCTGTACTGGGGGGGGGGTGACGCATGCAGGCGGTGCCACTGGGAGCTTCGGTTGAGCTCCCTATGGGGCCACTAAACGCTCTAATAGGAGGGGGTGACGCATGCGGGCGTTGCGACCGCGGCCTTCGGGGGAGCTCCTTATGGGGTCACCAAGCGCTGTACTGGATGGGGGGTGGCGCATGCGGGCGGTGCCACTGTGCCATTGGGGCCTTCGGTGGAGCTTCTTGTGGAGACACGAAGCGCTGTACTGGGTGGGGCTGACGCATGCGTGCGGTGCCTTCTGATCTTTCAATAGGGCTCCCTATGGAACAACAAAGCGTTGTACTGGGTTGGGGTGACGCATGCGGGCGGTGCCACTGGGGTCTTCGGTGGAGCTCCCTGTGGGGCCACGAAGCGTTGTACTGAATGGGGGGTGGCGCATGCGGACGGTGCCACTGGAGCCTCCGGTGGAGCTCCCTATGGGGCCATTGGGCGGGGGGTGATGCATGCGGGCGGTGCCACTGGAATCTTCAGTGGAGCTCCCTATAGGACCAAGAAACGCTGTATTGTGCGGGGGTGATGCATGCGGACGTTGCGACCGCGGCCTTCGGTGGAGCTTCTTGTGGGGCCAGCTGTACTGGATAGGGGGTGACGCATGCGGGCGGTACCACTGGGGCCTTCTGTGGAGCTTCTTGTGGGGCCACGAAGCGCTGTACTTTGTGGGGTTGACGCATGCGGGCTGTGCCACTAGAGCCTTCGGTGGAGCTCCCTATGGGGCCACGGAGCTCTGTATTGAGTGGGGGTGACGCATGCGGGCGGTGCCACTGGGGCCTTCGGTGGAGCTTGTTGTGGGCACTGGGGCCTTCGGGGGAGCTCCCTATGGGGTCACCAAGCGCTGTACTGGGTGGGGGGCGACGCATGCGGGCGGTGCAACTGGGGACTTCGGTGGAGCCATCTATGGGGCCACGAAGCGCTGTACTGGGTGGGGCTGACGCACGCAGGCGGTAGCACTTGGGCTTTCGGTGAAGCCCCCTTTATGGGGTTACGAAACGTGTGAGAGGTGTGCTGAAACGGGCGATGGCGATCATGATGGAGGAAGGAGGAGGGGTGGAAGGAGGAAGGAAGGAGGAACGCGGGGACCGTCTATTCAAAACGAGGACCCAACACCACAGCACGGTTGGGAACAAATCCCAGTAGTACTATTTCTACAGTTGTTCGTCCCTCGTTAAAGACGCACGCGACGATATAACCGTCGCCCCCTTGGGAGCGAGTATGTGGTCAGCGTTGGGTTAATTTCTTGCCAAGCTCTTGGACTATTGTCCCCCAGCTGTTGCGGAAACCTTTGGGGAAATTGTTCGGAGAGGAAGGGCGGGAGGAGTCCTCTTGGGCCCCCCTGAAGGCCCCCGAAGGACCTCCCGGGGGCCTCAAGGCATTTGGGGGACCTCGAAGGGACTTCGAAGTTCTCGAAGGGGCCTCTATGGCCTTCCGAGGCTGTCTTGGGCGACTCTCTTGGCAGTCGTCGGGCCTTCCTGGGCGCTTTGGGGCCGTCTTGGAGGTTTCTGTGGGCGTCTTAGAGCCCGCCGTCTTGAGGATATATTGGAGATATCTGGGGCCGTCTTCAGCTGTTGGAAGCCCAGAATGGCGAAAACGCGCACATTTGACAACACCTTGAGCAAATCAATGAGTTCGGCTTCGTCAGGCTCTCCTACAACGTCTATTGGAGCCCTCTGGGGGCGTCTTGTCTTGGGGGCCTCTTAGCCCGCCTTGAAGCCAATTGCGACCGTCTTGGAGAAACGTTGGTCTGTCTTGGGCCATGTTTAAGCCATCTTGGACCATCTTGGAGGTCAGATTTGACCGTCTTGGAGGCCACCTTCGCTTTCGTGGAGGCATGATGGGACCATCTTGGAGGGAAACGTCACTGGGGGGGTACTTTCTGGTGGGCCGGCAGGTTGTGCCAGAGGCCGTTGTGAACCCTTCGGGTGGGGCTCAAGCTGTTAACATTGGGCACGCCAGCACCGCCTTTTGCAAGTAGCAGGGGGCGGCGGATCCAAGTGGCCTTCGGCACAACTCACCGTGCCTGGGCTCGTGGACCAAAGGTCTCTTGCATGGATGGTGGGGCATCTTGGTATGCCTCGCGGGGGCATCTTGGAGGCAGCTGGAAGCGTCTCGGAAGATAAGTTTAGCCCTACTGGAAGCGTCTTGGGACCACTTGGGGAGCTCTTGGGGCCTTCTGTGGGCCTCTTAGGGGCCTGCTGGCGTTCTCAGGGATCATCTTGGGTCGAGGCTCGACATGTGAGTTCGGGTTCCCCCTCTAGGGGTCTCTCTTGGGGCCCTCTTGTCGTGGGCTGCCTTGTGGGCCTGTTGGGCCGGCTTGGGGCCCACTTGGGAGCCTCCTGGTCCGGCTTTGGGCTCTCTTGGGGACCTCTTGAGCTTTCTTGGAACCTCGGACGCCCGAAAAGGCGAGAACGCAAACACCTTCCAAACATCTAAAGATGATCAGCGATGGGTGCCTATTCGAGCCCTCTTCGGCGGCAATTTGAGGCCGCAGTAGTAGCTTGCACCACTTAGCCTGCGCTGCATCCCGTGGACCTCGTGGATAGCTTGCGCCACACAGCTTGCTCATCCAGAGCTTATCTGCCCTTATGCGCCCGTCATGAGGCGCAGCGCGTGTTCTGTTCGAAACGTTCGTCTCAACACGTTCCGTACTGTTTCAGCGTGTTTGCCCACGGTTTGGGGAACGTATCGCACGAGGCTTACGTGTTCATTCTACGTGCTGAGCTCCGTGTCAACACGCTTCGGGTTGCGTGTTACGTACTGGGGCAGCCAAGATCTAGAGTGCCAGGGATCATTGTTCGGAATCCGCGCTGGCAAATCTTTGAGTTGCAGCTTGTTTTGCCAGCTTCAACGCTTTGGCCGATCGCCTGGCGCCGCGCTGCGCCCGCATGCCCGCCTGCTGGCGCTTGCTTGGCTTGGGGGCAAGCGGCGATCTGTCCTGCGAGGATGAATAGTGTACTGCGAAGGCCTCACGGCTGGTCCCGACGATCCTTTGCGCCAGGACGAGGAGTAGACGGAGGACGAGGAGTAGACGGAGGAGGAGCAGGAGTAGGAGGAGGAGGAGGAGGAGGAGGAGAATGGGAGAGGAGGAAGAGGAGGGCGAGAAGGAATAGAAGGATGATGATGATGAGGAGGAGGAGGAGGAGGAACACGGGGGAGAGCGGTGACGGCGGCGACACTTCTACGACGACGACGATGAAAATGCCGACGAACTGTATCCAGGTGGCTAACGCCATTCAGCCGACCCCGAGCAGCGTAGGGACGTCCAGGGAGTTCGGTTGGCCATGTTGGAGCAGGAGTGGCTGGGTGCTTTCGTCCGCGCCCGCGAGGGTGGAGGAGGAGGAGGAGGAGGAGGAGGAGGAGGAGGAGGAAGAGACGTAGGAGGAGGAGGAGGAGGAGGAGGAGGAGGAAGTGGAAGATGTGGACAAGGATGTGAGGGGGCAAGGGGGAGAGCGGGGACGGCGACTACTGTGCACAGGTCATTTGCCCTCTGAGGAGGTTCTCCTTCCTCAGCTGCATCGTGGGCAACTTCAGCGTGTCTCTCGTGTTCTGGAGGGCCCAGCCCCGGAGGGCGCCACCCGCACCCGTCAGCACCAGGCCGGCCGAGGCCCACTCGGGGATTCGGGGCCCGGGCGTGTTGCGCACCTCGTGGCTGCGTCAAGGGGGCGACGGCACGGCAGAACAACTAGATCGACTCAGAGACTGAAAAAGTACCGATGCAGCTGCCGTGGCCTCGTTTTCCTTCGTTCTGCTTGGCGCCTCCCGGGAGGCACTTGTTGTCGCCACGGCTGGAATCGCCCCGAAGTCCTGGTCAGAACGCGCCCCGGGAGTCTCGGCGGTGAGCCCAGGGGGGAAGCGAGAGAGAGAGGGCGGGCCTTCTCAGAAGGCTCAGAGAGCCCCGGGAGCTCTTCTGAAGACTGCTCCAGGCCACAATCAGGAGGGGAAAAAAACACACAGACACAATGAATCGACGATTCCCAGGAAGATATGGGAAAATATGGGAAGTGGGGGGGAAGACAAAAACCCAGAAAATATGAAACAATATGGGGCATATGCTTATTTGTGTGTATTCATTTGCGTGTCCTGGGGCCCCCTTCACAAAAAATCTTCCCAGAAGGCCAGAGAGCCTCTGAGAAACCCCGCCGCCTTCTGAGGAGGCTTCCCCCTCGCCTCCCCCCTCGCGCGCCGCCGAGCAGTCCTCGGCACCCGGCGGCTCCCCCGCGCCAGCCGCCGCGCAGGGCCGCGGCGGCCTCCAGCGCAGGGCTCCGCTCCTCCTGCCTCCTGGTTCCTGTCGGCCTGAGGGTTCGTCGAACGCGGCCTCCTCCTCCTCCTCCTCCTCCTCCTCCTCCTCCTCCTCCTCCTCCTCCTCCTCCTCCTCCTCCTCCTCCTCCTCCTCCTCCTCCCCCTCCCCCTCCTCCTCCTCCTCCTCCTCCTCCTCCTCCTCCTCCTCCTCCTCCTCCTCCTGCAAGCAGGTGCACTTAGAGAGATGCAGTTTCGGTCTCGGGTTCGGGAGGATTTTTTTCTAGCGGCCCTCGTTTCAGAGAATTAGTGGCGATAGGAATTTTGTCTCAGGAGGTTTTAATGCCCCCCTCTGGGTTTACATATGCTGCTGCAGCGTCCTTGCCAGGTCCCCTCCCCGAGACCCCTTTAATTTTTGCCCCGAGGCCCAAAGCGGGTTCCAAAGGCCGAGGGAAGGGTCGTGGGAGTGGGGGTCGGAGCTGGGGTCGTGGTGTCGGGTGACGCCCCGTGCCTTGGGAGCCCGCCCCCACCTGGCTGCGTGCCGAAAGGGGGGGGTGCGGGACGGGCCAGTGCCGCTTTGCGGAGCGCGCTGGCAGAATGACGGTCAGGGTGGATACGAAGTGATCCGACTCAGAGTCCTAATTTTTTTTGAGACTGGTTTTCCCAGGAATCCCTCAGTCGCGAGGCACCTCTCGGCAGGACTCCACGAGATATTATATTCTATTCTATTCTATTCTATTATATTCTATTCTATTCTATTCTATTCTATTCTATTCTATTCTAATTCTATTATATTATATTCTATTATATTCTATTCTATTCTATTATATTATATTCCTCCTCCTCCTCCTCCTCCTCCTCCTCCTCCTCCTCCTCCTCCTCCTCCTCCTCCTCCTCCTCCTCCCCTCCTCCTCCTCCCCTCCTCCTCCTCCTCCTCCTCCTCCCCCTCCTCCTCCTCCTCCCTCCTCCTCCCCTCCTCCTCCTCCTCCTCCTCCCCTCCCCTCCTCCTCCTCCTCCTCCTCCTCCTCCTCCTCCTCCTCCTCCTCCTCCTCCTCTTATCCGTATCGTTTAGCCGGTGCCTATCCCCCATACCGATCCCTATCCCACCATCCCACCACCCCAGTGAAGGATGGGCCCCTAGAAACCCGAAGGCAACAGCCTGTACCCCCATTTGGTGGGGTACATCGACCAGTGGGGCCCAGGCCACGCCAGTGGGGATAGGGATCGGTCGAGCGATGCTCATCCTACCAGCCTGAAGCGCATCCCCATGCAGCACCTCCCCTTGACGCCGATCTCAGGGATCCCCTCGTGCTCCGAGGGTGCACCCCTAGGATTGTCACGGCCTTCGGGCCTGTCAGCTTGGGGGAGAACGGGATGGCATCGAGGCTGGTCACAGCCTCCGCCGCTGCAGGGGTTCTTGGCCCCCCCGCGCGCGCGGCCGGGGCGCCCGGCGACGGGCTCTCGAAGGCTCCCCGTGCTGCTTTTGGCGGAGGGCGCCCTCCGGCCCAGCTGCTGCGGCAGGCGAGGCAGCGGCGGCCGCCCTGGCGCGGCAAGCGGAGGGCGGCACCGGGCTACATCGAGCAGATCGCCGCGGTGCCCTACGATGCCGCCCTCTTCGGAGACGAGGACTCGGAGGAGGAAAGGGTGCTGATATACCGCTGCCCCTTCCTCGGTGGGGTCACACTGGGCCTCTCCCCGGGAGGCCCTCGTCGCCACTGCTGGATTCGCTTCGAAAGCCTGATCGGAACGCACCCCGGGAGAGGTCCGGGGAGTAGCGGTATGCTTGTTCGTCTTCTCAAGGACGGCAGGCGATTCGGCCGGCCGAAAGAACGCCATGGGAGCGGCCCCGCCACCAGTGCCCTCCGCCGGAAGGAGGCACCCCCGCCAGACCAAAGCGCCAGTGGTGCACTAGTTGCTCGGCTGGTGATACACGTTGTCCCTGGCGGAATTTCGCCGACACGGCCAAGGCTCGAAACCCGACCAAGGCTCTGTCACTTAACTTTTGAGATGAATGACCGTAGTTGCCCCTTGTCATGCCGGCCAAGGCTCTGTCACTTAACTGATGGGATAACCGTAGTGGCCCCTTGCCATGCGGGTTGTTAGTACTTCGCAAAATTCTATCACAACTTCCGCCGCGGCGGAACGCCCAAGGGGATCTCGGGAGCGCCAGCCCACCAGGAGGGCCGAAGGAAAGCCTTGGCCTTAGATCCCAGCCTTGTCGGACACCGGGGTCCCGGAGCCTCAGCGAAGCTGTGTGCCAGCTTGTTCGCGCGTGACTTCGTGGACTCCGGGGCTAGAGCGCGCCGTGCGTTATCCTCCCACTGAGACGGCCGGTCGCCGCAGGTGTCCCACAGGGGTGTTGTACGAGTTGTAGTCGCATGGGGTCAGGTGGCGCGCAGTATTTTTGGTAGCGTCGTCCTGGTGTTGTTATGGCAGTGTGCTGGCTGCGTCGTGGCAGCGACGTTGTGGTTTTGTGGTGGTGTCATGGTGCGCAGTGTCGTGGAATGTTGAGTTGCGCCTCGCAATTGTGTCACGTGGTGCCGTGTGGTGCTGTCGCGTGGCTTGATCGAGTGGCGCTGCCACGTATACAGGTGCTTAGGAAGCAGAGCGGCAACGCTGTCGCGTTGCATGGTTGTGGCGTCCCATGGTTGGTTTTGTGTTGTCTCGTGGGGCCTATTGGGGGCCTCTTGAGGCCCTTGCGGGGTCTTGCGGCCCTGTGGCGGGCTCTGGAATCTGTCTCGCGGGGGATGCTAGGCCGTCTGGGTCTCTCTGGAACGTCTGAGGGTGGCATGGGCTGCCTTGCACCCGTGGGCCCGTCTGAGACCTTGCTGAGGTTGTTCTCGCTGTGACGAGTTTGGGCCGTCTTCAGAGGCCTCCTAGATGGGGTCAGAGAAGACGTGGTCGGAGGATCGCGCCGCATCGCCGATGCATCGGCGATGTTTACACGACGCATCGGCGATACGCCGGCAACGTCGTTGATGCACTGGCGACGTCGGCTTGAAGAAACTCGGGCTCCACATCGAGCCGCATCGCCGATGCATCGGTGATGCGGCGCGATCCTCCGGCCCCATCTACTCCGACCCCATCCCGGAGGCCTAGAGTCTTGGGGCCAGCTTCCTTCTTGTGGTAGGGCAGAGGCTTTCTCATTGAACAGAGTTGTAGGGTTTCAGTAGTGTTATGATCTTCCAACCTATCTTGGCCTCGATTACCAAAAATCATTTCGAGCACATGGAAGTGCCGAAACTGCAGGGTGTTCACGTGCCGGGCCCTGGGAGGCGATACTCGTTCGACATTGTTTCGATATTTTTCTGGGTGCTCGAAATTCTGTCTGGGATGTGGTCCTTATGTACGATGGGCCGTGGACTGGCCTGGGACCTTGTTGGGGTTGTTCTTGCTGTGACGAGTTTGGGCCGTCTTGGGGCCATCTTCCTGTGTGGTAGGACAGGCTTTCTACTTGAATAGAACTGTGGGATTTCAGTTCGGTGGAAGCCCATGCCAAGACACACCCTGCTTGCCTCCAGGGTGCACTGGGTTTCTTGGATCTCGGTGGTTTTCCCTATGGAGAGCGTGGTGTCTACAATAATCCATGGACCACCGCGCTTCCTGGCCTCCCAGGGAGCCCCCCAAACGCCCAAGGACAGCCCAAGACGACCCCAAGAGGCCCCCAGCAGGTAAAATAACGGTCCAAGACGCTCCCAAGCAACCCAAGATAGCCTTCGGGAGGCTCTCCAGCCTCCCAGGAGGCTTCCAAGAGACCTCAAGAGAGTTGCGAGAAACCTCCCGAGAGCGCCCGAAGAACCTGAAATCGTTAATACTCATTGTTTTTTCTTCCGATGTTTTTGGCCTTCTCACCATTTCATGCTTCCAACGCTCCAAGACGGCCGAAGAGGCCCCCAATACCGCCCCAAGACCGCCCAAGAGGCCGCCAAGACGGCCTCAAAACGGGCCAAGAAGGCCCCAAGTCTGCCGAAAAGGCGCCCAGGACAGCTCCAGACCACCTTAAAACAGGCACAAGATGAGCCCAAGAGCGGGAGCAGGAGGCTTCCAGAGACCACTGAGAGCACTCCAGAAACCCTCAGAGGACCCACCCCAGACCCCTGAGAGGCTCCAAAAAAGCCCCACGAGGCCCCCCAAAACAGCCCAAGAAAGCTCCGAGAGCCGTCCCGAGAGAGCCCGAAGAGGATAACAGCGTTGTTTTCTACTGGTTTGTTCGACGTTTTCGCCTTCTCACGTGTTCCCGCTTCCAACGCTCAAAGACCGAGGAACTTGAAAGAAAGGGAGTTCAGATATTCGATATACGCCCCCCCCCCCTCCCGGGGGTCCCACGCCTTCCCCCGAACAGTTGCGGTACGCTGCAGGTACCGCGCGTTCTGGCGTTGGGGGGGCCCCCGAAACGCCCGAGCACAACCCGAGACGACCCCAAGAGGCTTGCGGAGCGTAAAAGAACGGTCCAAGACGCCCCCAAAGCAATCCATGACAGCTCTCGGTCGGCTCTCCAGGCTCCCAGAAAGCTCCAAGAGACCTCAATGTCCGAGGAAATTAAAAAACGGGAATTCCAGGGATTCTTTTTTTCAAGCTGGGGCTCCTACTCCCTGTCCTCTTCCTCGAGCTCCATCAAGACTTCGGGGTCACATGCAAGTATTGTTAGGGAATGCTATTGAAGTCTCTGACGGTGTCTTGGTACTCTCTTGGATCGTCTTCGAGTCCTCTTGGCTGCCCCCCAAACCACCGTAGAAATCGAGATCCCAGGATCCCATGAGTTGAGAACAACAGGATGTTTAGAGTTCTTGTTACTGCCTGCTTAATTTTGCACGAAGACCACGAGAGGCACCCCGACAGACCGTGGCCTGCATCCAGAAAACCCCGGCCCAGGCACAGCAACTGGAAAAGTTCGGACATCCCACAATCTTTTTTTTTCAAGTTCGCCCCCCTTGTCTACTCCTGCACAAGAGACCACAACTAAGGCCGCCCTCAGCTCCCAGGAAAGAACCCAGTAAGCATTTGAGGGCCGCAAATCGTTGAATGCCTGACGGCAATTAGTGATTTCTGCCTTTCCGCAGTTCCCCTTCTATGCGATTCCGAGGCTTGCGCAGGGCCCCCAAGAAAGTCCCTGGATGCAAGAAACGACAAATATGATATTCCATGAGTTAGCCCATCGAGCATAGCTAGAACTTGAGCGCGCGCGAAGCGCGCGCTCAAGCTCTAGCGTATAGATATAAACAGGTACACACACCGTGCCTCTTTGGGGGCGGGTGTTCGAATAATCAGGTTGGCCCCACATTTTCGGATTCCTCATGGCGCTAGCTAGGTAAAAGTTCGTCGGAGGGCATTATATAGAGGACGCTCGAACCTCCAACTTAGATGGGTGCGGCCCAAGTAGTTATAGGTTAGGTAAGTGGTTTTATTGTAGGAGAGGTTTGGATGAGTTAGGATTGGTTAGGAGGCCTATAAGTTTTATAGGAATGCCGATAGTGATAGTGCCCCATAGCCCCCCCCCCATGTTTCATTATAGGATCTATAGGAGCTCACAGAGTCCTATCATCAGCAATACTTGTAATCCCTAAACTTATGTATTTTTCACTATTTTTATTTTTTTCACTATTTTCACTATGTTTTCCTATTTTTCATTATTTTCACTATCTACCACTAGTTACCACTATTCTTTCATTATTGTTTCACTATTTTTTCATTTGTTTTTATTATTTTTCTTTACTTTTCAAAATTCAGACATTGGAACAAGTCTGACCGACGCCAGAACGTTGTGCTCCAAGGGAGAAGAAGGAGAAGGAGGAGGGAGGAGGAGGTGTTCACCTCCTCCTCTTCCTCCTCCTCCTCCTCCTCCTCCTCCTCCTCCTCTTCCTCGTCCCCCTCCTCCTCCTCCTCCTCCTGTGCCCCCTCCTCCCCTTCCTCCTCGGCGCCCCTCTTGGGGCCTCGGCACCCCCTTGGTGCTGGCACTCCTGGGCCTCGGCACCCCCAAATCCGAAGCTGCGAAGCTCCTCCCATTCCTCTTCCTCCTCCTCCTCCTCTTCCTCCCCCTTCTCCTCCTCCTACCCCTCCTCCTCTATCCTTTCCCCTCCTCCTCCCCCTCCTCCTCCTCCCCCTCCTCCTCTCCTCCTCCTACCTCCTCCTACTCTATCATATTTCCCCTCCTCCTCCCCCTCCTCCTCCTCCCCCTCTCCTCCCCCTCTTCCTCTTCCTCTTCCTCCCCCCCCTCCTCCTCTATCCTCTTGCCGCTCCTCCTCCTCCCCCTCCTCCTCCTCCCCCTCCGCCCCCCCCTCCTCCTCCCCCATCCCCCTCCTCCCCTTCCCATTGGCAGCAGGCTGGATGTTAGCTGGATGTTGTCTGGGTGTTGTTTTCATGTTGTTTGTTTGTTGCTTTTGTTGTTGTTATGTTGTTTTGTATGCTGTTGTTTGTTGTTTTTCGTGTCTTGTAGGGCGGGCGCCAGACAACACCAGACACCACAAACACAACATAAAAAACAACATACAACAACAACAACACCAACAAACAACAACATGTTGTTGTTTGTTGTGTTTGTGTTGTTTTATGTTTTTGTTGGTGTTTGTTGTTTGTTGTCTGGTTGTCTTCTCTTTTTTTCGTCTTACGTTTTTTTGTTTTTTTGTTGTTCCCCTCTTCTGACTACTGTTACCCCCCCCCCCCCCCGCCCTCCGTCACCTCCCTCATCCGTTTCCTCCTCCCTCCTCAGCGGGCCAACCGCTTTGCGTTCGCTTCCCTCCTGCCTCCCCATTCTGCTCCTCAGCGGCCCAACCGCTTTGCATGGGAGGAGGAAGGGAGGAGGAGGAGGAGGAGGAGGAGGAGGAGGAGGAGGAGGAGGAGGAGGAGGAGGAGGAGGAGGAGGAGGAGGACAGGATAACGATTTCGAGCCGAGGCCCAACCGAATTCGAGAATTCGGATTTTCGTCGCAGCCGTTTTGGCTTCATTTTTTTTGAATTCGCCCAACCGAATTCGAGAATTCGTTAAATGGCTGCCTGGGATGCTCGCTGCGCCACGTGCGGCGCCCTCGGCCCCGCAGCCAACATGGACGTGATTAAAAACGAAAGTTCTGAAGCGGCCAAACCGCTGCACTGTACAACTTGCAATGTAAAAGCGGTCTGCCGCTTCGGAAAGTCAGGAGAGAAAGGAAGAGAAGCAAGCTGGTTTATGATTTTTTGTTTAGAATGGGCTATTTTTCCATTTTCACTATTTGTTTCACTATTTTTCACTATCAAAAAAATATTTTCACTATTTAACATTATTGTTTTCACTATTTTTCTTGTTTTAAAGTGTATAATGATAGGATCCTATAGTGCACAATAGCTATATATAGTGTTTTATAGAATCCGCACCCATCTAAGAACCGGCCATGGAGCAGGACACCCCGTCGACGAGGGCCACGACGGGCAACCGGGGATCGCGCAGCGACGTATGGGATGCCGCATCGCCAGCCGCGGGGCACACAAGCAAGGCTCGCACCCCGAGCCCCTCGAGGGGAGCGCCCGCTTGCTTGGGAAGTCGGTCAGGGAAGGGGGGCAGGGGCAGGGGGGAGCTCCCCTCGGCGGCGAGCGAGGGGGGAAGTGAGAGGGAGAAGGCCTTCTCAGAAGGCGGTGGGGCTTCTCAGAAACCCTCGCGCTTTCTGAGCAGTTTTTCCCGTGCCTTCGGGGAAAGCCCAGAAGTTCGATCTCAGAGGTTGGCGGACTCCCGAGCCTTCTGAGAAGGCCCGCCCATCCTCACCTCCCCCCTCCCTGCTCGCGGCCCGACTTCGGAGAGGCCGGCGTGCCGCCTGCCCGCCCGCTCCCCCCTGGCCCCCGGGAGCCCCCGGGAGCGGCCTGCGAGCGCCGGCCGGCCCAGGCGATATGCCGGGGAGTGCCCGATCTGCCTCGGCGCGTGGGAGGCGGGCGACGACATCAGAGTGCCGCCCTGCGGCCACGCGTTCCACAAGGCCGAGCATAGGAGAGCGAACAGTGACGCTTAAGCATAAGGGCTCGGAGGTCCGCGCAGATTTCTCGGATCCGCGCTGGCCCCCCCTGGCGGCGCCTCCGGCGCCGCCCCTGGCTCGCTCCGCGCGCCAGGGAGGGGGGTCCAGCGCGGATTCGAAAAGTCCGCGCAGGCCTCCGAGTTTCTATGTTTATGATATTTTTCGGCTCCCTAGAGAAGCTGTCATTCCCTGGGCGCCGAAACCCGGGGAACCCGTCAAACCGAAATTTGGGATCAGCTTGAGCAGGCCCAGGAGGAAACCACATGTGTCTTCGCAGGCCTGTCGACCGAGGAAAGGCTGAGGAGAAGAATGATGAGGCGGGGGGAATAAATTGAGGAGGAGGGAAGGAGGAGGAGGAGGAGTAGGAGGAGGAGGAGGAGGAGGAGGAGGAGGAGGAGAAGGAGGAGGAGGAGGAGGAGGAGGGGAAGAGCTGGGCGAGTATGGGTGATGGAAGAGGGGGGGAGCAGGACGAGCAGGAAGGTCAGCAGAAAGAGGATGAGCTTGATTGAACACCTTCTTACATATTTTGTTTATTCATGCTTAGGAGGATGATAAGGGGTGATAAGGATGGGGATAATGAGGAGGAGGAGGAGGAGGAGGAGGAGGAGGAGGACGAGAGGGAAGAGGAGGAGGAGGAGGAGGAGGAGGAGGACGAGAATGTGGAGGAGGAGGGTGGGGGAATCGGAGGAGGAGAAGGAGGGGATGACACGGGATGGGGATACGGCGATGGTGACGATAAGTACGACGACGACGACGACGACCACGACGACGACCACGACGACGACGACGACGACGACGATGACCAAGATTGAAACGTACATGAATGTGCGTACCTTCGCTCTGGGAGCCTTTCGGAAGCCTCTTGGAACCATGTTGGGCCCCGTTTGGAAGCTTCCGGAGGATCCTTCGGGACTTATTGGATTGTTCTTGGAGGCTTCAGGGGGACTCTTGGGGCTATCTTGAAACGACCTGTCTCAAAGAAGGTGTTGTCGTTATTGACGCTCGCCCTTGCTGAGCCCCAAAGGTAGTCTCTTGGATCCCTTTGGGACGCTCTTGAGTGATCTTGGAGCCGTCTTGGGGCCACTTGGGGCCTCTCTTGGGGCCTTCTTGGGCCACGCTGGAGGCATCTTGAGGCCTCTGAATCTGATCGGAAGCGACAAGGCGATAGTGCTAAAACATGTGTTTCCCTCAGTTTTGGTGAGGATGTTGGCCTTTCAGGGCCCTCTTCGGGGAGCTTATTGACTACTTGGACCCGTCTTGTAGCGGTCTTGGAGCATTTTGAACGACACCTTGAGCCATATGGGAACATCTTGGGCCAACCAAAATGTCAGAGTCGCGCCCTCCTTGTCCAGATCCAGATGTACAAGTAGGGGAATAGGTCAATTTACCCATCCCGCAGGACGGCCGTCATGCTCACTCCCACCCGCTCACCCACCACATCAGTAAAACTCAAGTCTCAGCATGGGCAAGGGCCGCCATCGACCATCATCTGGAGTTGATGCAGACGCCACAGGTGCGCGACGCCCGCGAGGTGCGCCGCGCGTGCCAGGGCATCCCCATCATACCTGTCATGCGGCAGTAGAACGTGTAGTTTGCAGTGTGGTTTGACAGGGGCCGTGGGCCCGCACAGAGCGGAGCACATGAGGGCATCCCCGCCGTCCCTGCCAACAACCAGTGCAGAGTGAGCAAAGGGGCGGCCGCGCACGGCTGATTTGGGCGCGCAGTGCATCAGGGACGATGGGCATGCGCGCAGCAGGCCACAAGTTGGCCCTCCCGCCGTCCCGGTCAAAGACAGCACACACACACACACACTGATCGCGGGGCCCCGGAGCGGGAGCGGGTGGGGGGGGAGGTGCGCATACCAATAAGGAGCAGTGATCCAGCCACCCCAAGCCGCAAGCCGCGTCGCTCAGTCCAACCCGCCCTCCCAACACATGGGCAGCATCCGAGCCTGAGGCCCCGACCCCAATGAGTCCGTGAGCCAGGCCCCTTCGTAAGCGCAGTGCACAGCATTCAGTGAGAAGGGTTGGGCCCGAAGCACCATCACCACTTGACAATCGTGCAAAGTGAACGTTGCATCGGTATTTGTCAGGGATGGTGAGCCTGCACAGAGCAATCAGTATGAGGACCCCTCCGCAGCCCCCGGTCAAAAACCAATGGAAAAAGATGGTGGTGGGGGCCCGCGCATGAACCGGGTGCTCCCACAATGTGTACTTTGCATTGTGTGTTGGAGCCTGCTTTTTTATTCTGGGCCGACGGCGTCCGTCATCTGGAGGGGGGAGGGGCGGGGCCGATGACGTCACGTTTCGCGCCGGTGGCGCCTGGGAATGTTTGGGAATGACCGAGGACGGGTAGCAGCAGCGCATATGTGGCGATCTGCACCATAGCGCCTGCGTGCACCACAGTGCCTATGTGCACCGCAGCGTCTGTGTACACCGCACCGCCTATGTACACCACAGCAGCCGCGTGCACCACAGCGCTTGTGTTCACCACAGCGCCTGCGTACACCACATCAGCCGTTTTTTTTTGGGGGGGGGGGTGGCAAGGCCCCAGGAGGACGGCGGTGACCGACGCCCCCTCCCTGCGCTCACCACGGGCGCACGGAGGTCCGCGGGCCGTCGCGGCGAGAGGGCGCGCAGGTGGCGCCGACGGGGCACACGGCGAGCACGGCCGCGTGGCGGAGGCGGCAGCGCTCGGGAGGCCTGGTGCCTCGCCAGCCGCCGCGCCGTCAGCGAGGCGCGCCGAGCTGGTGGGTTTGCTGACCCCTGCGAAGGCGGTCAGCCCGAGGACGTCGGATGCGCCCCGCCTCACCCACGCGTGGGGCGCACGGGGCCGCTGAAGCCTTGATACTGCCGAGGCGCTCCTGGCGTAGGCGTGGCACCTCGCGCACAGCACGTAGCCGAAGGCACGCTGCACGATGTGGCCCAGGGCATCGCGCGCCCGCGGCGGGCCGTCCTCTGCGTCGGTCTCGCCCCCAGCAGGCACCGCTGGGCCCGCCGACGGCCGTGCCGTGGCGGCCGTGCCGTGCTGTGGGGATCGGGACCTGGCAGCTGCCTCCGAGGTCCGCTCGCTGGGGGGCGTGGCTCCGACCAGGCCGCTGGCCGCGGCGGCATCCTGGGTCGCGGCGGCCCCCGCCGGGGCAGGCGGCGGGCCCCCCGAGCTCGACGCTGGGCCCTGGCCGCGGGCCGAGCCATCCGCGCCTGCGGTCGCGGGCTCCTGCCCCACCGCACGCGGCGTGGGGTCCCGGCCCCGACCAGACCCGAGCACTCCTGGTTGGCTGTCGGCGCCGTCGGCGGCTGCATCCTAACAATTCCCATCTGCGTCCAGGACGCTCCCGCAGAATTGGCCGTCCGAGAACCAAGTGGACTGATCCAATCGACCGTTTTGCGGTGCACGTTGAGATGCGCACGTGCGCTGTAGCGCCGACCCGCGCGACGGGGGGAACGGTAAGGGAGGATCAGGAGGAGGAAGAAGAGGAGGAGGAAGCGGAGGGTGAGGAGGAGGGAGGAGGGCAACACATCGCAGTCTATTATCAGTACTTTTTTGGCGTGGTGTTTAGCTGTCGTCAACAGATCCTCACCTACATGCTCCTTCTACTCGTCTTGTGTACGCAGGCGGTGTGGTGTACACCAGCGTTGCGTTGCACGCGGAGGCTGTAGTGTACACAGGCGCTGTGGTGTGCACAGGCGTTGCGGTGCACGCAAGCAACATGGTGTACACAGGCGCTGTGTTACACATGGTTGCTGCGGTGTACACATTCGCTGTGGTGTACAAGCGCATTATGGTGCACGCAAGCATTGTGGTGCACATAGGCTCTGCACTGCACACGGCTTTTGCGGTGTGCACAGGAGGTGTGGTCTACACGTCCACACGCGCGCTGTGGTGCGCGCGAGCACAGTGTTGTACACAGGCGTAGTGCAGATCGCAAATCACATGCTGCTCCTGCGTGGCTTCGGTACGCCGCCGTCGCGGAACATGACGTTAATTGGGGGGGCGGAGCCGATGACGGCCGCTATCCCAGAACATAAACAAACTGGTTTTTGACAGGCTTGGTGTGTCTGCGCAGAGCGGACAAGAGGAGGGCACCACCGCCGCCCCTGTGAAAAGCTTACGGCGAAGTGATGACTGGGCGCCCGCGCACGCTCCACACTTTGCCGTCTGCATCTTGATCGGGATCGCGTGCCTACGCAGAGCGGGCAATATAAACAATGCAGGCTAATCACGGGCCGCCATCGCACGGGCCAACTTTTGGTGGGGCATCCCGCCGTCCATGTCGAAAACTTCTGCAAAGTGCTATCGGGGCGCCCACAGGCAGCCCAGATCATGCCGCAGAGTGCCCTTCGCATCGGTTCTCGACGAGAACAGCAAGAGGATGCCATCTTTGGCCCGCGTTCGTCGCTGGTCGGGTGGGGAATGGTGTGTGTTTCTATACGGAGTATTGGTGAGGCCACCCGCCCGAAGGACGACCGTCTCGCTCACTCCCACCCGCCCTCCCTCCGCATACGTTCCGCTCATCGACAACATGTTGCACCTTTTTTGCTGCGCATTGGCACCTATCCTGCATTGCTCTTTCCCCCACTTCCCCCCGATCCTAATATTGGATGTGTGGTGAAAAGCCCTTGGGCCGCCCGGGGGCCCCCTGCAAAATGTTGCACCACCGAGCTGTTTCGACCAGCCCGGACTGAACCGGAGGGGGGCTGGGCAAACGCTTACAGAACAACGATGCGATTTTTTGTCCGCGCCAGGTGGTGCAACAACTTGTCGAGGCACCGCAGCACCAGAGCCTCAGCATGAGCAGGGGCCGCCATCGGCCATCATCGGGAGTTGATGCAGACGCCAGCCGGGTGCGCGACGCCCGCGAGGTGCACCGCGCGTGCCAGGGCACCTATCATCATTACCAATGCTACGACAATGCGAAGTGATTGCGGGGCGCCCGCACATGATCGAGCTTCTGCCGCTACATG